GTTGTGTGGCACTTATTTGTTTTAGTGCATATTAATAACCACCTTTAGGATCTTTAACTGTTGCTTCCAAGGAGCCAGACTTCTTAATAATCTTAAAGTCGTTCTTCCTCAGGCTTTCTGAAGGTTTGAAGGTTTTTGGGTGGGAAGTCTACTACAGGAACATCACAGCATATTTTCCAATGTTGGTTTAAAAATGAGGAAAGTTGACATATAGAGGACAAGATAAGTGTCATAAATGAACTAGCAAACAGTATCTGAAAGTCCTTAAGAAACAGAACAAAAATCCAGCAAAGACTGGTGATGCATCCCCCTTCAGTTGTTCATCTGTAGTGCAGTATGTAACATTTTCAGCTCATCACTCTTTACAAATACATGTTATAATACAAATTTTTTGTCCATTGTTGTCATCTTTCTTTGTTGAAATCAGGTCTTTCTTGTAAATGAGTCCTCGAGGCTCAATGGGATTTACCTGTATAAATAAAGGTTGATTGAAATAACTCTGCTGGTACTAAAATACAAATTTCTATATCCAACTGTGCTATATTTGACATTTTTCATTGATTCAAGCAGGGGCAATTGTAGAATCTGACCTTTAGGGCCACTTAGCCCCAGTGCTGATAATGGCTCTTGGCTTGAACAACGCAGTGGCCATTAACAATTGGGGTAGGAGACACATTGGTGGGGGGTCTGGGGGTCCTCCCCCAGGAATTTTTGAATAAAGTAGATGCCATTTCCAGCATCCTGGTGTATTTTTCAGGTTTTTTTAACATCTACGTCTACAAAAGTAAACAATTGATTCAGTAACTATTTTAAAGAACATGACAAAACAAGAAGTAGCACTAAGCTAGCGGCGCGCAATACAGACACAATAGCTAAGATGCTACTGACGTAGCGCTCTGCTTTACATTACACAACCTAATAAACCCTTTGTACGAAATCAGTTTGGTGTTAACTGATTATAACAAACAAAGACTAAACTCATGCAACCAGAAGTTACAACATATAAACATATATATGTGTGTGTGTGTGTGTGTGTGTGTGTATACATACAAAACACACAAAACAAAGCACAACTAGCTTTAAACATTAACCTTTAATTTAACCATTAAGCATACAATGACAGAAAATGGAGGATTTACCTGCAGTTACCTTCGTACAGATGAACATGTGGTACTTCCTGTTCATCACTGTTGTATTCAGCTGCTCATGAGGTCGGCCACAGGGCTTTATCCATATTTTACATTTTTCCAAACTCAGTTAATGTTTTGGAAATGCAGTAAACTGTATTCCACCCTCTTAACACTTGAGGTAACACTGTCTGAATTCAATGTTCTCCACTGACAATGTTTAACCATTTTTCTGATGGTTTGTCACGAAATCCCTCTGACCACAAAACGTTCGAATTGCAAAACCCGGAAAATGTTGTCAGAGAAAAAGGGGGTGCAGCTCTGCAGGTAAGAGGTGTTTCACTTCAGGACAAATTGAAATCGCTGATTGGTCAGTTGCTGATAAATCTATTCTGGATTGATTGACAGATGACGTGGATCTGACCCTTGCAAAATACCAAAAGATTTTACTGGCCAGTTTGAGTGTCATCATTTATTCCATATTTATTCCAAATTTATTCAATATTTTGGTGAATCTAAGGTTTGAGAACTGAGTTTCCTTACAAAATCCTAATGATTTTTCAGGGGTGCTGAGATAAAATTTAAGGGTGATTGAGCACCCCCCCAAAAGAGGCAAAAATCACCACTGGATTCAACGAAAGAAAATGAAACAACTTGTGCCTTTGAGACAAGTTACTGGTAAAATTTACAGTTATTGAGTTGGTGATGAAGTAGTAAGGATTGCTGCCTCGCTGCAAGAAAGACACAGGTTTGTCTCCCAGCCTTTCTGTCTGAAGTTTGCATGTTTTCCACATGCACACATGGATTTTCTCCAGGTACTCTTGTTATACCAATGACCTGCATTTTAAGTTCTTGATAACTCTCATATGTCCCTTGGTGTGTGAGCGTGAATGGCTGGTTGTCTCTGGCCCTGTGATGAACTTGTATCCTGCAGGGTACACCTTTAACCCTAAACCTCTGGCACAGTAACTGCTGGAGAAAAACACCAGTTCTCCACCACCCAGAACAGAAAAGCTACTTTTGGAAGTTACTAACTACCTAGCTGGTATCAGTTTTAACCAGTTTATTGATAAAGATCTAATACAAAATAGTTTTGGCTACGTTGTTTGTTAATTGTCAACACAACAATAGTTCATCCCTTGAGTTTATATATATATATATATATATATATATATATATATATATACTTAACATCTGAATTAAAAAAATTGTTTTAATTCAGATGTTAAGTGTCTTAAAAGACAGATATAAATGGTCGGGTAGATAGAAAATGAATAAAAATTCAAGCAAAAGCTTTGGAGGCAAAATACATAAACGTCAAAAATAAGTGAAAAGTTTTACTGTACATAATCATATTCCTCCTTTGATGTTCATCCACTAAACTCTACTGTAGATGAAGCTCAAAATTATTTGAAGCTTAAATAAGTTTGCCTTTGAGTGACGAAACAAGTGAGATTAATTTGTTTAAGGAATATTTTACTGACTCTTGTGCAGTCTGAATAAATTAATCCAAAGTTTTATTATATGCAGACTGCTGTAAAGTCAAAGTTGTGAAGAGTGTTCTTATTATCATTAAAAACACATTTAAAATAATACTCTTTATTGCCAGCAGGTATTTGATAGTTGTTTTAAGATCGATGTGAAAAGTTTAGAAGCTGTTTTGTCTTCCACCCACTTAAAACTAAAAACCAGAGACCACAGCAGTGAAACTGGATTTGTTTCTGTCTGAAGAGCCTTTCATAACAGGACAGACAGTCACT